ATTGCTGACAAGTGACTTCTATTTGGCGTCTATTTGTCAAAATGCTTTTACGAATGTGTGAAGTACAGAAAAGCAATGCAATGTAGACGTCTAACTGATTGCTTGCGCAAACTCACCAAACACAATGGAAGGCGTCAATACGGCGAGATAGAGTTGAAGAAGCATAATAAATGGAGAAGTAGGCTGCCTTAGCTTTTGGCGCGCCGTGTGCTTATAAGGTGGTGTAGGCTGAGGCTAGCCTATGAAATGGGTCCACATTGCCTGTAGAGCATTCACGCATACCTGCAAACACGTACGTTCAAGCTGTGGTGTCACATGCAAAGGACAAGGGCGATGATGTTTTATTGCAAGAAGACAGCGGTCACCGTATTTCTGCTTAGTCAGCTCCTACTTTGACAGGTATTGAATGCCAAAGAAAAGGCAAGTGGCCTCCTGCAGAAACGGCATGGACATTGTTGCAGCAAACCTTTTTCATCTTCCACTCCATTCACTCACTAACTCTATAATCACTTCTCAGTTACTTCATATAAATTATGTAGTGAGTGAGCAGTGCGTGAGAATGCAGACGATGAGCCCATGAGCACATCGCTGCGGGGTGATTATAGAGTGAGTGAGTGAGTGGAGTGGAAGATGTAAAATGTTTGCGAAGATTAGAGACGTCATTGGCGTAAAAAGGTGTGTCCATTGTTAATGAAGCTGCACATGGTCAAACAATCAAGTCGTGTTTGCAGAGAGTTGGTGTGCAAGTCTCAGGTGACTCTGAAATGCGGATGTTCTACGTCTGTAGCAACGTGATGCATGCGGTACCTCCCTTGCATTAACTACCAAACTCAGAAAGTGAGCAAAGAAATCGAGACACTTGAGTTGAGAGGTGAATGTTTGGTTGCGGCAATGTGGGAGTGCTGCGACAAGCATTGGAGAGAAGAGGAGGCCAAGCTTAATGCGAGACACGGCGCCTTGTTGGGGAGGGGAAGGATGTCGTACTCTCAAAAGGACAACCAGTTTGCTTGAGGTGTGTGAGATGTAAACACGATTCAGGGAGGCGTCTATTGACTCCGCTAATCGCCATATTCAAATGTCGAAGCGGGTGAACGTGAGAAAGCACTCATTTACGCCTCTCTGAGACTGCAACGGTGCATAAACTCGGGTGGCCGCACTGAGACTGGAAGGCGCGTCGACATTTATGATGCATACTTCGCGAGCATTGGTTGACCCTCACCTCAAGCCCCTCCTCGAAGATTACGACGATAGAACTGGCAGATCTGTGATTCACACAAGTTGAAGTGGATGATTCCG